TTTCGTGTGCACGTGTGTGAATGTGTGCACATGCGCGTGTATGTGATAGACAGAGTATAAACTCGCCAGTGATTTTGTCTCACACATTACACTTCATGTACAGCATACTATTAAACATCACAGCACACACATCATACATCACACACCACACACAAAACATCACACACCACACACCAAACATCCCACACCACACATCAAACATTACACACCACACATCAAACATCCCACACCACACACAAAACATCACACACCACACATCAAACATCCCACACCATACATCAAACATCACACACCACACATCAAACATCACACACCACACATCCAACATCACATCACACACATCAAATATCACATCACGCACATCATACGTCACACACCACACGTCAAACATCACACACCAGACATCAAACATCACATCACACACATCAAATATCACATCACGAACATCATACGTCACACACCACACACAAAACATCACACACCACACACCAAATATCCCACACCACACATCAAACATTACACACCACACATCAAACATCCCACACCACACACAAAACATCACACACCACACATCAAACATCCCACACCATACATCAAACATCACACACCACACATCAAACATCACACACCACACATCCAACATCACATCACACACATCAAATATCACATCACGCACATCATACGTCACACACCACACGTCAAACATCACACACCAGACATCAAACATCACATCACACACATCAAATATCACATCACGAACATCATACGTCACACACCACACACAAAACATCACACACCACACACCAAATATCCCACACCACACATCAAACATTACACACCACACATCAAACATCCCACACCACACACAAAACATCACACACCACACATCAAACATCCCACACCATACATCAAACATCACACACCACACATCAAACATCACACACCACACATCCAACATCACATCACACACATCAAATATCACATCACGCACATCATACGTCACACACCACACGTCAAACATCACACACCAGACATCAAACATCACATCACACACATCAAATATCACATCACGAACATCATACGTCACACACCACACATCAAACATCACACACCACACATCAAACATCCCACACCACACATCAAACATCACATACAACACATCATAAACAACATAATATCAGACATCAACTTCATACGTCACATATCTAACATATTATTAAACATCACATGTCACACATCAGACATCACACATCACACATCACATATCATATAATAGCATACTATTACTTTTTACCTTTTCATTCCTCTGGCATCCTTAGGATGTCCCGGGGAGGTGCAGGTTTCGGTCCTGTGCAAGGTGTGTCGCGTCTGTGATAGAATGTTATGTTGTTCAGGGACCTTTTTAACCCCATTCAGCCAGGTCTTTCTTGGTCTTCCTCTTGATTTGAAGCCGGATTCTCAGGTGTTGTAAGCTCTAGCCGTTAGTTGTTTCCGGATCATTCTGGTTAGATGTCCAAACCATTTGACTCTTTGACGCTAAATGAATTTTATTACTGGTGGTATTCCAGTTTATAGACGTATGGTTTCGTTTCTTATGCGGTCTCTTCTGGTGACATTGGTGGTTTTTGCGGAGACACCTCATTTCGCATTTATTGATTTTTCTTTCTTAGATCGTTTGCCTTGTTTAGAGACCATGTTTGGTACTGATACGTTAATATTGGAATGAAGATGCTATTGATGAGCTGGGATTCCACTTCGGTTGGGATGTTCTTGTGACTGAGCAGGGGTGCTAGCTGGTAGGTCACTGCATTTGCCTTCATAGTTCTTGTTTCTATTCCTTTGTCCATACGTCCATTTTGTGGGAAGATACTTCCCAAATATTTAAACTCCTGTACTTATTTTCTAAAGCTGAAAGAACTACGGAATGTAGACCCATGAAAAAATTACTAAAGGTAGTTCAAAGACAAGCTAAGTTTCTATCGATTCAGTAAGTGCTTGCTTTCGCCTAAAATATTTTAGAGAAATAGAAAACTATCGGCCGTTTACTCTTTTCCCGTTCGTCATTTCAATGCAGTGTTCAAGACATATTTCGTTTTCATGATACAAAAATTGCTCTTCCGCCGGAAATAAACAAATCTTCTTTATGCGCTTACAGTTGAGATAAAATATTTGTGAAAGTTCGTTACTTTGGTTGTCTAAAACTTCCGAACCAATTAACTTTCGATTTTGAAAAATAAATAACGGTAGTTCAGAATCATTTTAAGGGTGCATTGTTATATTAAGGAGTCTGAAGTCACTGTAGTTTAATTTTAAGTTTTTCGTTAGTTTCGTTTATCTAATCTTGAGAAAGTCCGTCTTATGAGACACCATTGCAAGCAAGTGAGACTTCCGTTCACTTGCAGTGCGAACTGCTCCCTCAATGACTTGACGATCGATTCTTTTGAGTCCGTTCATCGAACGGGGTACCCAGCTTTAATAAAATAATATCACACATTGATGTTGCTATCCACTTTGTCTGGTCTCCTGCTAACTGTCTTGACCTCGGTCCATATGTCCATCGAGCCGGCGATTTTACAAAAAGAAATTGTCTGCTGGGCCCAAGAAGAAAGCCTCTAGTTGCCAATTTGGCTTCTCAGCTGCTTACTTTATTGAAGGATAAAACTATGTAATACATATATTTCATCAGTAACGTTATCAGAAAAACTGTCTCTAGTTACTGTAAGTACATTCATAGTCAGCATGGCTCAAATGTGTATTGCCTGTAGGTTTCAGGTCACCCATGGTTCTGTTTGATATTTCTTACAGAAATCTTTCCTGGCAGACCGGCGTTTTGAAGAATTGGCTAGTTATGTTTAGGAGGAAATGTTACCATGGATGGGAGTTCGCGAGAGGCACTCGGCTGACAGAGTGTGGGCCGCGGAAACAATATCCCGCAGGGTGAACATGGGCTTTGAACTAAACCAGTTAATGTCATCGAGGAATTTAATGATCCTGCTTTTCAAGAAAATCGAGGAATCATGAACACATTGCCAGGCTCTGATCTTGGCTTAGCGAAGATGAAAGTGGTACAGTCATAGGTTAAGATCTTCCACGACAATGCAGACTGTTGAGGTGTAGGAAAGTCCTACCTGCAGATCGTCTACGGACAGACGTCTCATGGGACTCGACTACTGAAATCAACACCCCAGTGACGTTTAAAGGGCTGTGCACGGTGCGTGTTCGACATGAGGTGGTCATTTTAAAGGGCATTTTGAGTTCTGATTCGCTATAGATCCAAACTGACGGAACTTCTCAACTCATAACACCAAAGGTCTTGAGGACACCTAAGCATTTGCTCCATGCCATGCGCAGAACTTACGAAATGTAAAGGATGGTGGGTTTGTGGAGAGGTAATGTTCAATATAAAAAGTTCTTTTCTTTTTACTAAACGTAACCATGATCTCAGCAGGCAAACCAAATTTGAGAAAACTAATATCTGCAGACTTCTGTTGACTTATTAGACTGCTGTAGCTTGCAATATGACGCGATTGTTGCAACTTTTAGTGGTAGGCCTAATGTGAACTGGTGCGTCATGCTATGAAACTGGTGACACGGTTGAAAATGGGTTGATTTTTTAATGCTCCGTATAGAGCAAAACAATTAAATGGACTTATCTAAAATGAATACATGTATCAGACAAATTCCTTTTGGCTTCCAAATGTTATGTTCAAATCTGAAACACAAAACTTTACTATGGAGGAAGATATTGACAAAACAAGTTGTACAGTTTTTGTGGGATCACCCTGTAACATAATTTTACAGCACACTTTACACACCACACATCACATGATAATACACAACATTCATTTCTCAACACACACCACATATTTACAGCACACACCACGTATCACATAATTTTACACACCACACATTACACATCACACATTCCATGACCTCCAGACCTCTGTAATTATCTCACCGCCGCCTTCATTCTGTCAGAAATTGTGTCACCCGGGCCTCAACCTCCACCCCCCTTCTCTCTCCCCCTCTCTGTGTCTGTATTTCTCTCTCTCTCTCTCTCTCTCTCTCTCTCTCTCTCTCTCTCTCTCTCTCTCTCTCTCTGAA